CTATTTATTTTATTTTTGGCATGATGCTTTCTCTTTTCTGCACCATAACACTGCGACAAATTCCTTGGTCGTATACAAATCCGGCAATAAAAGTGATTCTGATTCAAGAAATCATCACTGAAGTTTTTATACTGTATATTAATTTGAAGATAACCCTCAGTTTTAACTCGATTTTACAAGCTTTAACTATTACAAAGCTAAAGCACATCATCATGGTTTGTGTTGTGGTATAAAACACTTCTGTCATTTTTTATTTTTTTAAATAATTCTGTTATTGCGTGCAGATAGAAATAACTTATGCTCTCTGAAGAAAACTACTATGTTTAGAAATGCTATGTTGGAAATCCACATTAAAAAGAATGCAGTTTTTATACTTTTTATAAGATAGGTTGACATGAAGTAAAAGTTATGTTGTGCCAAACATGCCATATGCATATTTCTCAGGTCACATGGGGGTTCACAATACTACAAATTCATAAAAAATACGCAAAACAGGCTCCTCCACAGCTCTACATCAAATTTCATATCTGGCTTACACAAACATATAATGCTTTAGAAATCAAACAAAGCTTAAACAAAGCTTAGAGACATATATCTAAACACTGAAACATTTCAGTGTCTGTTTAGCCATTTCATGTAAAACTGACATTCGTAGATCATCTATAACAAACAAGAGAACCCACTTCCTGCATCTCCAAAGTCACATACACGCATTTCCTGTGTCTGAATAGTTTCATCCAAACGACAAAGCCATCGTTATCTGTGCTAATGAAGTTATGAATGTGCACATGCAAACCAAATCTGGATATACAGAGCCCCTGTCAAGGTAAAGGTAACATAAGCTCTGGATATAGATATAAAGCACAATAAGACACAATAAACACGGGAAAGGTTTTTGGTCATCTATCCATCTATAGTCTTAACCGCTTCAGGGTCCACTTCAGACAGATGGAGAGATATCAGACAGATGATGAGTTATCAGCCAGTTTAGAATCCCTAATTAACCAAACATACATGTCTTTGAACTGTAGGGAAAAGCCGGAGTAAACTTACAACTCCACGCAAGGAAGCCCGAGCCGGACAGCGGTTCTTGCCTCTTACTATGAGGCAAGCAGCGCTAACCACTGTTTCACCACTAACAGTAAATCCCACGAGCTGCGTGGGTGTGAATTGGTACAAATGCAGCACAGAAATGCCGAATATTCCCCAGATTTTACTGATACTTAAGCACGTAAAATTAATTTAATGCAGCTGTCATGGTTTGAATATAAATCGTTATTTGCAATGCATTCATAGGTTTAGTAATATATGTATTTAAAACATTTATACTTATATAGATGAGTATAACGGATATTAAGTGTAAAAATGAATAAACAAAAACAAAATAAGTAAAATCTCTTGTCTAAACTATAAACTACTAGCTGCATACTTTACACAGTTGCATAGACTGTGGTACAGCGCGGGGGAAATCCGGGAGTTTTTCACCACCGTTTTGCATTTGACGTTGTACGTAACATGATTTTTCATAAACACGAGGTTTCCGGGAATACCTCGAACGCCTCACAGCCAAAGCGCAAACAAGTTGTGAAGCCACAGGAGAGAGAAGTGAAAGTGAGTACGGTGAGCTCGAGCGCAGAAAAGAGGATACGGATAAAAGAAAACAGAGAAATATCTCTCTGTCTTAATTTGTGACATTAGTCCGGATAGAGCAGCGGAGCCTGGGTGTTTCTCTTACTGCAAAGTCGAGTCGACTCTCCCCTTTTAAATGCGGACTCTGACAGTTTCGACGCAAACAGCACGAGACAACATGGACTCGGTAAGTGCATACCTGCCTCCTCTGAGCTAAAGGACATTTAAATGGCTTGCACAAAAAACACGAGATGAATGAGAGATAAAGTTTGTTAGAGCTGCCGTTTTCTTTCTGTCTTTTGTATTTTCTTTACTTTTAAGAACGCCTAAAGCACGCTGTGACCATTTATAGTCTGTTATGGTACTAATGAACAGGCAGGTCAACCTTCAGTTCTCTTAGCTTAGCTTAGCTTTTTACAACCCAAACTAACGTACTCATCCAGAGACTCGGTACAGCGAGATAACATGACGTCTGTGAAGGTTCTCAGTTAGAGATAACATGACGTCTGTGAAGGTTCTCAGTTAGAGATAACATGACGTTAATTTATACATTAACAATGTAAAGGTGAAGAGAGGCTAACCCATTTTCAGTCAAGAGAGGCACCAGGTCATGTGTGAAATGAGATAGATGTAAACTAAATGAATGGAATGAATTTAATTTATTATATTTCTTCTCTTTTAATTTTTAAACCTGCTCATTTAACACATCCTGCTTTAAGAGTAAACATCTAAGATTATAACAATTTATGGACCAGCAGAACACTTAAAACAGTGCCATGATACAACATACTGAGCATGTTATAACATGATGTGGCTTACTGGGATAATATCAGGTACCTGAATGTGGGCAGGCAGGAGGGAGGGAGTGAGGGAAGGAAGGAAGGAAGCAAGGAGGGGAACTGGAATGGGCAGCATTTCCTGTGTCAAGACACCACCATCTGAATTTTAAACATACACCATTGTTCAGCTGCTATTTGCTATGCCCAGGATGAGATAAGCCCAGCATAAATCAGTTGTCACCATTGCTGGGTGAGATGCAAGTTTCTTAGCCAGGTCCAATGAAAAGCAGACCGCAGTATGGGAGGGCTACGAAAGCCTTTAGAGAAACAGACAGCTGAGCGTGAAGTGAATCAAGGTGCTGAGGCGTATTTGTTTTGCTCTGTCTGTCAGTTTCCTGTTCCTGTCAGTATCTGAGATGTCGGTTTCCTCTCACGCCCCAGAGGACGAAGGTGAAGGAGAGAGCTGTCAGGATACCAATGGCCCTTTGGTCAAACTATCCTTGAAAGTAGTTCAAGGATAATTTGACTTGACAAATATCCTTGAAAATCATCCCTCTTGTTGTTGTTCTACTCATTTGCTGTCTAATAAACAGCTGGTACCAGTCTGAGTGGCAACACGTTTTCTTTTTAATAGTTTTAACATGTCAGAATGTGTTTGCTTTACTGTGTAAGTTAGTTTGTTCTGTGAGTTGCTTCCAGAAATATATTTGTAGCTATACAGTTTAACAATTAACATATCCCTGCTTAAGCACGCTTGAAAAGCAGGTGACGGGTGGAGAAGAGTGCTGCTGTGTTTATAAAACAAGATGCCAGTCTGACCTGTATCAGGCAGCCTAGATCTTGTTGGTGCTGGTTGCCATTTTTTTTATTTGGCAGCTTAATGTTTGATTCGATTTCTTTTCAAAAGTTGTTTACAAAAAAACGACACCAATAAAAGTAATATAGTAATAGAATTAGAAGTAACTAAACATCCAGTGTTGCTGCTTGTTCTGTTTAAAAAATAATTTCCACAAAAGCCCACTGAAACGTCTCAGCTCCATTAAAGGAGACCTGTTATTATTTTTCTTACTTTCTCTCATATATACAGTTACAATGGTAGAGGCTCTTAATTAACTTAAGCAGAGACATTATAAGATAAGTGACTTCTGCAACAGCAAGGTAGAAGTATAGTTTTAAACTCTTAAACTCTCGATCTAATTTATTTAACCTTAATTGAACCAGATGCTTGAGATTAAAATTGTGTATTGGTGGCAGATGAGGGGCTGCACAAAGACACTAAATTAGGATTATTTTTGACCATGAATGATATGAAGCTCTACTCTAATAGAGTCAAAGAATGAAAATATACCCTTGGTAATGGGCATAACAGGTCTCCTTAAATTTGATAGCACATATTTGAAAGTGACGCACAACAGGAACAAAAACTGGAGGCATCCAAATTAGAAATCCAATCTTGTGACTTTCTTCTTTTTTTTAAATTTGATCTTAGTTGTGACATAAGGATGTGCGCTGACCTGCATTTTTTGGCTACACAGATGACTTCCACAGTCACTGTGGGCATGCTCACTGAGATCCTCTGTTTATCCAAAAACACAAAGAGCATCACAGTTTGTGTGTCAACTGACATCTGTCATTATCTCACCGTGAGAAAGTTTAAATAATGTGAGCACATAATTCCTGTGAGGGTCCTAGGAGGTTGGGTTGGTTTAGTTTTAATCAAACTGTGTGTTTTGATTGGACAGGAGAACGGGAAGAGCCACCTGCAGAAGACCCAGGAGGAAGTGGAGGAGGTGAAAGTCATCATGCTGCAAAACATGAACAAAGCTGAAGAAAGATCTGGCAAACTCAATGAGCTTGAAGACAGGGCTAAACTGCTGCTGGAAGAGGTACACTGTCCAAGTGGAAAAGCATCATCTCTTAGCACAGCTCTATTTTGCCTACATGTTCCTTGTAAAAGTCTTTGGCTTTTATTTTGAAGGTGAATAACTGGGGCAAATGGCACACAGATCCCCTCTCCACAAGCACCTTTGGATTAATACTAAGGCATGTCACATTGATGTCTATAAATATGCTTTAGGTGGAGCTGGAGAGGAAAGCAAATGTGCGATTTACATCCTGATTCTGTTTTATGGTGCTATATTTAGAAAGGTATTTCCTATTGTTTCTTAAGATGAATGAAGCAAGGTGGTCTCCCTGGGTATGAATATCCTTCCAGGGGTCAACAGCGAGGTTGCATCATTCCCACATTGCCCCATTGGCTGCGTTACATGACACTGGTGAGGAGCCAGGGGGAGAACTAAAAAAGCAGACAGGCAAATTGAAGTTCAAGAAGCACACTGAGCTACTTTTGAATATCGTAGACTGTGAAAAAAACAAGGTTCGGTTCCTATGTGTTTCAAAGAAAATGCATAGATTCTTACAGAGGATCTCACCGATACAAAAAAGGAACAGGCTTACCCCAGACAGAAGTAAGCAAGTTTGACAAAACTGGGATCAGCTAAATCAAAAACATTAAAACTCTTCAGTCCAGAGTTTTCATTTACACAGCTTTGCTCACTGACATTACTACCACCCTACTCAGCACCAGATCATTTGCATTGCACTCAGACCACAACACAGGAAAAAGAATCTGCCAAAAGGTGACACCTGGAGGCAACTTTAAATCGTGGGTTATAATGTAGTTAATGTAATCTATCCAGTTCAACAGAACTATTAGAATAAAAACACCCCGAAAAATCATTTATCCCACTTCATGTATGCCTGTCTGATGAAAAAATATGATCAAACTGAACCAGAAATATGTGGGCCCTTAAGAGAAAACAAGATGAAAGAAGCTAAAAAATCAAAAGCTGAGACATAAAGCAAATCTCTGTGGATTTAACATTAACAGGTTTGAATAAGAAAGCACTGATTGCTGCAGTTATATCGAAATCTCCATTTTGCTTGTACTTTCCTGTTTAATGAAAAACACGCTGACCTTCAGTCTGTGACTCGTTTGTCCTAAAGATACAAGGACTTCCTCTGGATTTGTTTACGTGATACGTTTACTTGGAAGTGGCATGAGGGTGTCAGTTCTGGGTTTTATCTTTGTGATCACAGCTATTAGACATTTAGAAATGTAATTATACAAGAACAAAATCTTAAACGTTTTAATTTTGTTTTTTGCAGAGTAAAAAGTTTGAAAAGACATCCACCCAGGTGAAGACACAGAAAAGATGGGCGAACAAGAAGATGAAAGTGGTGCTTATTGCAGTTGCGGTGGTCGCAGGACTCATCATTCTGAGTCTTATAATCGTTGCTATTGTTCAAAGCACCAAAGGAAGTGACTAAAGGTAAAGCACCTGGGAAGAGGAGAGGAACTGTAACTGTGGAACTCCAGCATCTTGCCTGAACTGTTCTCTATGACATATTTATGGTGGATAATTCCTGTTCTTCAATCTACTGCACGCCTTAAGTTGATATGGTACCGTGGGTTGCTCAGCTGCTTTTTCTCTCTCCTTTTTAAAAGACTCCCTTCTTTAAAAGGTGATGTTTTCAAAACACCGAACAGCCCACACCAAGAGATTATAGGTGGATTTAAAGTCTTATAAGTTCACTGGATGGATATCAACAGAATGAAACTGGTCCACTGTCCTCCCAGTGAAATCTCACTGCCATGAATATTTATTCAAATGGTATCTACATACTAAGTAGATACCATTTGTGTTTTGCCCCCTTTCTTTTTTTAAGGAAAACTGCAAGTATTTTTAATCAAATATCACCAGGCTCCTGCTGCGGTGCCCATTCATCTCTCAGAGATGATCAAGAGATGAAAGAAAACAGAACAGATGCCAAACGTTTATAAATATGTATCCGCCTCAGATAGCTCCACGTGGGAAAGGAGAAATAAATGTCTAAATGTGATAAGTTTAGGTGTAAAACTTACTGTCCTCACAATCATTAAAATGTTTTTGTGTTTGTTATTTTTGAGTGGTTTATTTTAGTGTCAGGTTGCTCTTCTTTTCTTTGCTCAGATACAATCTCCAGATTTCTTCTTCATGTTGTACTTACAAACAGAATGTAAGGTCTCCACGTGCCATGTCAGTATGTCATGTGACCAGCACATGTGGATGGAGAACAGATTCACTCCTTGATCATCTCATGTTTGGAGTCGTATTGTTAATAATTTGAAAGTCTGAGCTTGGAGCCCTCAATAACGGGAAAGACAGTTTCTGTTTATCTGTAGTCAGAACGAAGAGTATTAGAGAAAGCAGTGACCCCTGGTGACTGATGTTTTCATTTTAGAGAAACATGCTAGGTAGAGGCCAAAAACCTCCGTGGAACCATAATATTTATATGTGTGTGGAACTTTCCAAATAATCAGGTGACTTGGTTTGTTAACATAAGAACTATGTTCACTGTTACTACTAACTGTCAGTCTGTAACCAAATAATAGAAACCCCATGAAGATATTAACATTAGCCTACACACACACATATTGTAACTGGACATTTAATAAAAGAGTGGATTACTCTTACAGTTCACTGATGCGTAGGCATGTGTCACCTTCACTCTAGCAGGAAATTACAAAGACATGCTGTGCAGCGAGGCCAGACAGTGATATTGCGAGGTGAAAGGTGATTGTTTTAGAGCTGTAATATGTTCACACGATTCACTGTGGCTGCACTACTGTGCTTGGAGTTTATGCTGTTAGAATCTGTGGTACCTGCGTTATTATGGTTAATGATTGTGTAACAGTCTGCATGTCAAAGTTACCAATTCTGTGTTCTTTTGTTAGCTCATTAGACCAAAATCATTTCTGGATAACCGTAGAGCTGACTGACAACAGTTTCCCTGGGAATAAAATATGTTATCAACACAATGTGCTTTATAGCAAACTGGGCCAGGAATCTCTGTATATTTGCCTCTGAACTCCTCCTACATGATAAGGAACTGAGCAACCAGAATTGGCACGTAGCTTCTTGCTCACCAGAAGATTCTAATCTATATCAGATATTATGATCTTGTAATGTTGCCTAGCAACCACTTACAACATCTGAAGCTTTTTTTTTTGTATCTGCAGCTCTTTATAAATGCATGTTCATGGCAACATCTAATTTATAACAATAATCTTATAATCCTACATAATAACATGATAACTGTCATTTTATTTATCAATGATGCTTAGCATGTTACCTAGCAACCACCTAACAACAGACTGAAACCACAGATCAAGCAATACTACAGCATGGTCATTACTTGAGAGATAAATATAAGGGTCTGTTTTTAAGTTTGGATCATGAAAATAATAAAAATATGGATTTTTGAATGAGCAGAATAGATTCACTTTTATTTATATATTAACAGTATTAATTATTTAATTTTGCACACTTATTAACACAATATATGCCTATACCTGATTCTCATTTTACTACACTTAAAAAAAAGAAAACACATTACAGTTTTCAGTATCAGCATACCCACATTTACATATGGCAGTGAAATATGTGCCCATATGCATCTTTCCTTACACTTTGTCTTCATAGCATAAGCCTTTATCTTTAGGCTTTGTGAAACGTTATGAACAGACTTTCAGTAAGTGGACTTGAATTTTTCTTCAGTTTGAGACTCCATTGTGTAAAGAAATAATTAAATAAAAACAACAACAACAACAACAAAAGAAATAATTAAATAACACTAAAATGACAAATGATAAAAAAAAAAAACATAAATAAATAAATTATACAAGTCAAACACCACAAGTTAGATACACACAACAGGAAGAATAGCAATAACGGCCTTGTATAAATTAATTAGAGGACACATAAAATCATGTGAGAAAATGTTAAAGCTAAAAAATGAACAGCTTTTATAATCTGACATAGTCTTTGTGAAATTTACCAAATGCAAATGTTAAACAATTTTCTAATCCCCCCTGTCGCGGGATTTTGTAAATAAAGTCTGAAACACTGAAAAAGCTGTGTTCAAGCTATTTATTACTGCGCGCAGGAGAGCCAGCACACACATCAAACATTACAGTTCACAGTCATGCCAGCTTTGCCTACACACAACTCTTCTTCTCCTTCTGAGCAAAAGAGTTAGCAGACAACATAGCGAAACATCGTTAAGCAAAGCTAAGCAGTTTTCACAAAGTCACGCTGACACATACACATACTTCATCTGAGCATACAAAGGTTTTACAAAATCATACAGTGAAGTTCTAACCGCCTAAATCTACATGTGAGGTTAAACTAGAATTTTTCTGCAACACTCCAAGACACAGGAGAGAACAAAACTGTGAGGGGACATGGCGATGACAATGATTTGGATAAAGCTGCTGCAGCAACACACATCATTGTTATTGCTGCTCTTTCAAGACTTTGTTGTTGTTATTACCGCTCTTTCTTATGTTGGGAAAACGATTTGAACCCAACACCATTTACTTACTCACACCACAGGTTAAAAATAAAATAAATGTGGTTTACACACTGTTCAATCGCAGACACAAATTTCCTTCGCGATTGCGTCAGGAGAACTACGCCAAATCAGTCAAGGAGCTATCTGCTGTGGCGACAAGGGAACAGCTGAAAGTGGCATCTTTTTTTAAATTAATTAATAAATTTTTATATAAAGAGGGGGTTTCATAGCTGCAAGAGTAATAACCTGAGCTCATGACGACGGCAGGGCGTACAGAAGCTTATCTTACATGGAACTGTGTGTTTGATATTATAAAGAAAACAGGACTGAGTTGTGGTGCGTGTGGGTTTATGGGGTTGCATTCATAGTACCTCGTGCATAAAAGTTTGCAATTACAAAATTAGGTGTTACAGATTAATATTGTGTTTTCTTTATGATTTTTCTTGTTACTAGATTGGAACTTGAACTTTCCCAGTTCTCAAGAATGCAGCAGAAGCATACGTAGCCGCCGTGACCCGGAAGTGGCGCTAACAAGTCCTTCCTGCATCAAGACCGGCAAGATGGCGGCGGACACGCAGGTTTGTGTGGCAGGATTTTATTAACTACTTTTACTATAGCTTTCAGGTGAGGCAGAAACAAAAATGGTGGTGTCTTGGGGGTCCATTTATTTGAACATCTCGACGGGTTTCGGTGTTCGCCACGAGAGTCGAGCGGCCCTCTACAGCAGCTAACTAGCAAGCCGTTAGCTTTGTGCTACGTCGCATCAAGTGTGACTGGATGAGGCTGAGCTGTTCAGCTGACGAGAGCAGAGGAGCGAGTCGGTACTCAGCAGAGGACCGCCTCAAACTTTTGTTTTCATCGTCTCCGACCAAGTTCATAGCCTTCTGACATGAACGTTCAAGTATGAGGGACAAACATTTTAACAGAGCCGAGCTGACAATTAAGTTCAGCAGTCATTTAAGACACCATCCAATAAAAAACACACCCAAGTATTCTTATCAAGCCCATTCTCTGATGTGTTACTGAACCCCCTTCCTCTGCCTCACATGACCACAAGCTGCACATTTTTAGCTCTTACACAAGACTGCTGTCATGTTTTCCTTTCTCATTGTGAGTTTTGCTTCAGGTTTCAGACACGCTGAAGAAATTTGCTGTGAAAGTGAATACAGCCAGCGTGAAGGAGCGTAAGGAGATATTCGGAGACCTGAAACGGTGTATAAAGGGCAAAGGTGAGAGCTTATGTCTTCTTCTTTTTTAATCTCTCCACTTTTCAGTCTTCAGTAAACAATAACAAGCTGTAAAATGCTTTTGTTTTAGAGTTACCAGAGCCCGCCATTAAAGGACTATGCAAGCTCTTCTGCCTCACCCCTCACAGATATCGGTGGGTTTCTGACATCATCTGTAACAGTGAAGGTGAATCTTTACACTCAGTTGTTGTCAGGGGTTTCAACACTTTCTATCCTGTGTGCGCTCTTCAGGGATGCTGCATCACGCAGAGAGCTGCTCTCTGTTATTGGCCAGCTGGCTGAAAGTAAGCCTGACATCCTGGTAACCAGCCTGCTCCACTGCCTGCTCAACAGTGGAGTCATCAGCAAAACTGGAGAGCCCAGGTAATGACCCAAACTTCAGGGTGCATCTAGTTGGCTTTAAACATTGCAGATGTTCACTGGTAATAAATTCCTGCTTTTACAGACTTACAGAAGAGAAGAGTCATAAACATCTTTAATCTTTCTGTGTTTGCCTGGCACAGTAAACATAATTTATATAACTTAGTGTAGCGGCTTTAATTAAAATAATGTGGGTGCATTGCTTTATGGCATAGTAAATAGTGTTTATTCGCTTTCTCGTTGCACACACTACTCCACAATCCTCTTGACATGGCAAGAGGGTTTGAGTGTTTTCTAAGTGTATGAAAAGTAAAAACTGAATATTTAGGTTCTTTGCTTGGGTGAAGCCATTGACAGCATCGACGCCCTAAAGTTGCCTTGGATCATAAAAGCTTGGATTTTTTTTTCTAAACCTTTGAGAAGGCATCAGCACACAGCAGGGCAGCAGTCCAGAGCTTTATGAAGACACTGCTTTCTTTTCACATTCTTGAGTTTCTGAAATGTGAGATCTGGGGCGCTCTGGAAGAAAAGTTTTCACTGTATTTTTCTGCATCCGTCCTTCCATCTGTGTGATCCTGTCACAGAACAACAGTCCTGCAGCATGTTGCTGCCATGACCATGTTTGACTGTAGGTATTCTGTAATGTCTTATCCATCTGGGAATTACTGCCGCCTCACAGCAAGAAGGTAATGGGTTCCAGTGTGCTTACTGGGGGTCCTGAACTAACAACTTCTCCACCTCTTGCCCTACGACAATTGGGATAGCCTCCTTCAACATTACCATAAAAACTTACGTTTTACGTGCTGTTATTTTTTTTGTTTTCCAAAGTTCTCACATCTCCATTCAAATTTGGAAAACTTGAAGTGTTCTTCCATTTTTTTTGGATGCACTGTGGAAAAATGTCATTTTTCTGTTTACATATTGTTCTGGTTGATTTCTTTGTTGTATTTGCAGTAAAG